CCCCCCAAACAATGTAAAACGATACTGCTTGAGTAGGGAAAGCAATAAATATTAAGCAAATTTTCTAATACAGTTTTAATAAACTTTCTGAACAACACACTTCTACACTAATAAAAAATTGAAACCACCTATAGCCACTGCTTCAACGAAAATAAAACTTCCTACCTTTATGCACTCCAGATAACATTACTTAGAATTGAATGCAAAAAAAGTTGTGAAAAATCATAATCAAAAAAACTTTGCATCTTTTGTTCCTTAAATCAATAAATTTTCAGTAGAAATGAAAGTGAATGTATAAACTCTCCATTGGCTTGTGCTTTGTTTTTCATGTGTGAATGCTTGTAAAACGCTAACAACCAGACATAGTTTAAAATTTAATCTTTTTAAGCAGCCACAAAGACTAGAAGTAAACAACAGATTCTTTTTTATTCTGTAAGATTTCTACTAGACTGATGACTTCTTTTTCAATAACCTTGTGACCAAAACGATCACAAGGCTTTTTTCAAGCCGGAAATACGCAAACACTTGTCCATCTTTTCATAATTTTCTGCTATTCAACAAACCATGTAGTTTCTCCCTCAGATGTTCATTTAAAATTTAAATCAAATTTATAAATTTCTTCCGGAATCGCCAGTTTTTTTAGAAAACTTACTGCGCTTGAAGTTTCTCTTAAGCTGCTACGGTTCATTGCTGTTGGAAGCCACAAGTTTCAATAAAATGGTCGCTAATTTTAGAATTGATATTTATAACTTTTGAGCGCCGGTTTTTAAACAAACGCAGCTTTAGTCTCAGGCGCAATAGCTGTTTGATTCGTCTGAATACACCAAGTACAAAAGATCAGTGACAATTAAGAATAGTACTTTACTGCTGATGATCATTTATCTACTCAGCAGTTCTAATTCTCGGTAAAAAGTGTTTATATTCAACGCCTAATCGCAGTAATTTTACGCACTAATTTCATAATGATGGCAACCTCATAACTATGGGTATTGATTCATCAACCAAACAAAAAAGTAATGTGCTGTTATGGAAAAGGCTGTTATTTTTCTTTTCGACAAAGA